TGGCTCTGTCCCCAGGTCCTGGCGGGGAGAGTTGGTTTCTAATCCTGTTACGGCCATGCTGAATTTCTTGTTTGAAACCAGTTACATGTGACCGCGCGGGTGCTGTTTAACTTCCGGGCTGGTAAGGAGCACTTTGGGCAGCGCCTGTGGGAGCTGGGGGGGGTGTGGGGGGGGAATCAGATGCGGAGGAAAGGAGTGCAAACGGCAGCTGTGTCTTGCAGACGTGCATTGCTCCAAACACTCAGCGTGGAAAGGGCTGGGGTCTGCCGATCCTTTCCATGAGCTCCCTTTGCCCGGGACGGGGAACCCTGCTCCTTGCCTGCCCATACAAGTTGACCTCCTGGTGCCGCCTTATCGGCACGCTCGAGTGCTGCATGAGAAAAACGTGTCTGAGTGTGGCAGAGTGAGTTTTGGTTTATTTTGCTTCCAGGATCAGTACCTGCACACCCCAGGCTCTGGAGGAGACCACTGCTAACTGCTGATCAGCTTGTCTTGAACCGGACCCTTCAGAAGGAAAAACCAGAGGAGTCTGTGGCCATGGGGATTCTGGATGTATCAGGTGGGCAACAGGAAAAGTATGTGAGCCCAGGTAGGACAGCATTTCTCTCATGAAGGAGCTAGCAGGGACGGGGCAAAGCTGGCCAAAGAGCTGCTGCAAAAGCCCGAGTTACCCCAAAAGTTTGGTAAAGAGCTCTCCGGCCACAGCAGCCCTGAGCGAGGAGGGCACTCAGATACAGAAAGCTCCCAGGCTGTTAACCAGGCTGCTGGCTTCTCCTCCAGCCCCTTCTCCAGCTACCAGGACAAACAGCATTCGCGCATACATACCATCACACTCTCCTTGTCTTCTTCACCCTCCTCTTCAGTGCTCACCACCACTCCTCGTCTCCAGATGCCAGCAAAGCCATTGCCACTGCGGTTCATAGCCTCCCCAGCTGCTCGCCAGCCCTTGCAGACCCAGCTACCAGCATGATTGGAGAAACCAGCATGTATCCCTGCTGGGGATCCAATCTGCAGGACTTTCTCCTCAACATTTTCATAGCTCGACAACACTGCTGGCATCTCCAGGAGAGGTGGCCCACAAGATGGAGATGGTAACAGCATGTCGAGGGTGGGATCATCGCTTGCAAAATGGAAGACAACTTCTCCTTCCTAATATGCACCCCAGAGCCTCATGCTGGGGTGGCAGAAGCAGCTCTAGGGTGCCTCCACGGCGCTGTGACCATGCTTTGACGAGGATCCCACCCTGATGTGTCCCACTGCAGCCGTCACGATTCAGAGGAGAATAACAGCCAGATGTATGGGCATATTTTCCATCAAAGCAGTTACTTAAAGTATTTTTTTGCTTCAAACCCTCTATGAGATAAAGCCGTTCATGTAGAAAAGCCGATTGTTCCCCTTGTAATGGAATTTAACTGAATTACCACCACTTACATGTAAGAGATTTATGCTGAAACCCTCAGGACTGGAAGGCCCTACAGACCAAAGTGGTCTCCTCGGTCTGCATTAACACCCTTGGTGTTGGCTTGTGTGAAAAACCTCATACTGGCAGGGTAAAGATAAGCAGAGAAGATAATTTTGGACACTCACCAGCCCTCAGAAAGATGCCTCAGATAGTGGAAACACTAACATTGAGATTTGGTGTCTTCCTCACTGAGAAAAAGGCAAGCAATGTCCTGCACAGCTACTCCCTTCTGTAGTCCCATGGGCAAAAGTTGCAGCTGTAGCTGCAGGCTCAGCCTTCGGCCGGTGGGGTGGACACCACCAAAACTGCACATGATGGATGCGGCAGATACAAATCCGGAAAGCTATGTAGCCACAGCTTTTTGATATCTATAATTACATAAGGAAGGCAATGTATATAAAGCATGAGGGAGTTCTGCCATTATGAATATGTTTACAGGCCGTGAATATTATTTACCAGTCTTGTATTAGGGCAGCCTATGTCTATTAAATTCCCTTCGGAAATGAAAGGGTAGAGCCCACCACTCAGGGTGCGCAGCATTTCCTTTTCCAGCGACTCAGAGCTCAGCAGGATGGGAGAATCTGACCTTGTGTAAGAATTTAAGATTTTATACTAATTCCATTTAAAACACCTTGATCGTTTTATTACTTCAAAAGTGTCTCTTCTCCCCACCAAAACCAGATAGTGAAGTAGAATACCATACAGTTTGTATCTTAAGCATCCAGTTAATATAATGTAAGGTAATGTAATATAATATTATACCATATCATACCATATCATACCATATCATCCAATATACCTTGCTTTGTTATACAGCCCATCACAGAAGCCATTCTAGGGGCGAGTTATTTAACAGTGAGCAGACACTTGACTATTACCCCAAACAGGGCACCCTATGCTTTTATTTCCCCCGGCAAATATTGCAGCATAAAATACTCTGTTAACGCAGGGAGGGAGGGGGGGAGGGATATTTGATGCAACCTCTCAGGAGAGTTAGGATGAGAGAAGGATTTCAGTAATAAATTAAATGCTGTCAGCAGTTTAAATTTATAAATAAATAAAAATGAGTGCAATTACATTGAGGGTCTGCCGGAAAAAAGCTCAAGCAGCTTCAGCTCCTGCCAAGGTTGGGAAACTGTGTTAGGGTGTCCAGGTGGACAGCAATATCCTTCCTAAGGATATTCCCATTTGTACCTTCACCCTGCAGTCACCCTCCCTGCAACCCAGCCAGCCTGAGCTGAGCTTTGCCCTTTGCTGCTTTTAGGGATGGGTGCAGGCACGTCATGGCCCTATTACCCCGCAGCCGTGATCACAGTTTATTGACCCAGGAGGTCTGAAATGAACCCCAGTGATGTGGCACAGAGCTGAAATGCAAACAGACTCTGGCAAGGCTCCTGGGTGAAGATCAGCCTTTTCCTACCTTTAGCCCTCATTGAGTGAGCTTTGCCCTCTGATGGCCTTGGGGCACGCCTGGGGAGAATGAGAGCTCGTGAGTTTAATGGCTCGAGGAGCAAAAGGTGCAGGACAGGAAAAAAAAGGAGAGTGATGCAGGAATGACAGCATAGGATAGTGAGTTGGGATGAGAATCTGAAAGACTGGAAGAAAACACTACATGATAGGCAGAGGAGTTCAGAAAAGCTGAGTATTAAAGTACTGGGAGAAATGGCTTCGGCTGCTACTTGGATAGAAAACACTTGTGTCTTAACGGGCCCCCAAAGTTAGCTGGGACAGATCCCCAAGCACTTCCCATATTTGCCTGAGGGAGCATGGCAAGTGTCCACCTCTGGCACCAGCTCTGGTCCCAGGTGACTCTGGCCAAGGAGTACGGCCAGGTCCTCTGCACATTGCATGGTGACGGCTCCAGGGGATTCTTTTCAGTACGCTTCCCACTAGGACTGTGGCTTTTCTGCTTGGCTTTTGGCTTCTCTTTGTGAAAATGAGGGGCTCCTAGCCTGTGGGAAGAGAAGGGATTATTCCACATAGAGCAAGATCCACCCAGGAATATGAACCTTCTCTTTGCACCAAACTGGCCCTGCCCAGAGGAGCCCACCGAGGGCAGGTAATCCGTTCCCTTCGGTGCCTCGCAGTTTGGGCATCGGTTCTTGCTTGTCGGGCAAGACAACACCAGCCACTGATGGGATGATAAAGAGCCACATTTTGATATGGGAGTGGAGCTGTGTGGTGGGTTACCACAGACATCTAGGTTTGGTCTGATTTATTATCTCTGCTAATTATTCCAATAAATCAGTGTTTGAAACTTGCCGTTGGTACTAAATGCGAAGGACTGGAACTACTGTTGGGGAACTAACAGGAAAGAATGCAGCTGTATATATGAGAGAATTAACAAGACTTCAGCTTGGCAAAATGCAAGCAAAAATTGTAGATACAAAAGCAGTCTGAAACACCCCGAAAGGACAGAGCTCCCTATGTGTTAGCGCTCCCCAGTCATCACTTTGCCGATAGCATCCTCACCACCACAACACCCTCAGCAAAGACTTGTGGGCAAAGACCAAAGGTGACACGCTGCTCTCCCCATGCTTTCTTACATTCTATGAAATTTCTGTAATCAAAAAAAATGCACGTAAATCAGAGAGAGCAAATTTAGCAAAGGCAGTGCTGAAGTTCTTGTGGGTGCTGATGGGGGCAAGGGGGTTACAGGTGCAAATTACTGTGCCGAAATCTTGCTGCTTTTCATAAACAGAGCAAAAACCTTCTCAGATTGAATGCATGCAAGATTTCTTCCCATGTTTCCAAGCAAATAGTAACCTAATCCCTGGAAAAACATGTATATATTAACCTGAATGCATTCAGCTAGCTACCGAACCAGAAAAATACCCCTTCCGTCAGAGCCTGAGCTAGCCCCTGCTGGAAGCCTGAAAGGAGTGAAAACGTGAAGCAGCCTCTGCTCTAGTAACAGCCAGGTTTTGCAGGCGTGTTGAGTCAGTGCTGTTGGTTTTGCTTGCTCACTTACAGCTCTCATGCTCCACCCTTCTGGTTTGTTTTTTTTTTTTTTTTATTTCAGCTTTTGCAATCTGACAGAGGCGGGTGAAAGCAAGTTGAAGGAAAAGACATTCCCCTGACGAGGAGCTGCAGAAGAGTCCTCAAGCCCTGCCTCTGCTAGGTAAAGGACAGCCAGCCACACCACTTGCATTAGCCTAAAGCCACCCGTCTAAACCCCGGAGATACACTGGTGCTTGAACTGATTTTCCAGGTAAGCCTTTTTTTTAAAACCCTGAATATTGGTAGCTGAGCACTTCCTAACCAGGAAGTTAAATCTGTCTGAAGACAAATCCACAGCAGCAAACGGTGTAATGGCAGAGCGGGGAACGCTCAGCTGCTCGGGGTAACAAATACACTGGTTTATTTACTTATTTATCAGCCTCAAGCAGACCGGGCATTCGTGCCATCTGACTTATTTCAGATACCACAGTCGAAAGGGCCTTATAAACACCTGCAGGAGGTGGACAGACAGAAAAGCCCCACACCAACATTTTCCCTTTGAGTAAAAGTTACTGTACGGGTTTTGCCTGCTGTGGCAAAGTGAAAGAAAGGGAAAAAGGAAAGGGAAAACCAGCTGATTGCATTGATGGTTTAAAGTTCACATGGCAAGAACTAAGTTTCTCCCAAGTTTTCAAAAATGAATGGAGTCGTAGTTCTGGGGCTTTGGGGAAAAAGCTTGGGACCGAGCTAAAAGCTGAACAGAGAGAATCCCCTGAATAATAACCTGATGCTCTTAACCCAACGTGGGATCCTTCAGGCCTGCTTGTCAGATGCTGGAGACATGGTGGTGGCCATGATGCAATAGTTACGGATTTCTGTTACATTTCTACCAAAGGTTAGGAAATGTGGGAAGCCGAATGAGGACACCTTCTGTTTCTGCCAGGATATTACTCCAAATGCAAATTTTTTATTTTCATTGCTTTGTTTATATACTTTGGAAAGTACCTTTCCAAAATTCCCGTGCCATTTTTCATCAGATTGAGAATTTAATCCTGTTGGAACGGTTGGGCTTTTTCTTAAAATCTTTCTTTAAGAATCATGCACAGGAACTTGAGAACATTTTGGGACCTCTCCAGCCAATAACCTGAACATCATCGCTCTGTACTCGAGACGTCTGAAATTTAGTGGTGCCTGGGGAGTAACAAAAGTATTTCGCTACAGCAGAATCCCTTTCTTTTTTCCTTACTGTCAAGGGCCAGGAAGGCTCAAGCTGCTTTCCACCCCTGCGCTTGTGAAATCCAGCTTCACGCTGAGCCCTTCTTCTGCCGTTGGGATGGGGGGGGCAATGCCTGGACCCTTACCCCCAGGCAGCCACCCACTGCTGGGTAGACTATGAGTTAAAAGAGCAAATGCGACCCCAAAAATGATGTCAGAAAATGTCAAGGTCCCTGAAAACTTGTAGTTTTGGCCCAAACCTTCATTTTCTCCTGCTGCTGGTGTAGGGCTGTGATTAGCAGAGCCGGAGAGCTAAGCTGTGCTGCGGGGAGATGGATCACAGCAGATGAGCCAAAACTTCTCCCACAGCCTTTTCTGCCCTAAAAAACCCCTTCTCTTCTGCGCTCCAGGTCATGTCTGCTAGGACAGCAGGAGCAAGTTGCCTAAATAATGAAGGAAATACCACGGCAGGGCAGATTTATTTCAGATTTGGTTGCAGAGGAGCCTCTGGATTGCTCTGCAAGAGTGGGAGAGTATCTTTCCTGCTTCTGCTCTGCTGAGTGAAACCTCAAGTAAAATGGTTCAGATCTGGCGAGTCTCAGTTCCTATAATTTCTAGCGGGAAATGGTGCTGCTACTGGTTTTGTTCCTTCCTGCCGAGATTTGTAGCCTTGCTGGGCAGGAACTCTCTACTGAAATGTGCTTAGCACAGCTGGAGCTTCTTGTCACAGCTGTAAAAGAAACAATTAAAAATAACATTTGTGCTCATCAGCAGTGTCCCATTGGCTTCCCTCGATGCTAATACTCCCGCTCAGCTGCCTTTGATAGGGCCATTAGTCAAATCCCGCTCCTCTTCTGAGCAGGCTGCCCATACTGATGAGCACCCCGTTATAAGGGATGGGGGAAGATCCTTCCGTCACTTCTGACACAATCTATGATTTTTTTTTTACCCTTCTCTCAGAGGCAGCATGGACATCAAGGAGTATTTCACCAGAATTTCTTACCATGGCTCCTACGATAAGCGGGACCTGGCCACTTTGACGGATATATTCCAGCACCACATCCGAGCGGTCCCTTTTGAAAACCTCAGCATCCACTGTGGGGAAGGCATTGAGCTGGACCTGGAAGCAACTTACAAGAAGATAGTGGGGAAGAAACGCGGGGGCTGGTGCATGGAAAACAACCACCTTTTGTCTTGGGTCCTGAAAACCCTTGGCTACGACGTCACCCTTCTGGGAGCAAAAGTTTTTGTCCCGGAGTTTGACGCGTATGCAAAAGAAATCGATCATCTACTGCTAAAAGTGATGCTTGATGACAAACCTTACATTGTGGATGGTGGGTTTGGGATGACCTACCAGCTGTGGCAGCCGATGGAGCTGATTTCAGGAAAAGACCAGCCGCAGGCTCCTGGGGTCTTTCGTTTCCGGGAGGACAACAGGATCTGGTACCTCGAGAAGGAGAAAAGGAAGCAGTGGACTCCCAATCAAAGCTCCTCCGCTCCCCATGAGGTGGAACAAGAAGGTTGCCGTCAGGTTTATCTCTTTACCCTTCAGCCACTAGACATTGAAGACTTCAGAACCTGCAACACCCAGCTGCAGACAGTGCCAAACTCGCTGTTCGTGTCCAAGTCTATCTGCAGCCTGCAGACCACCGACGGCATCCGAGCTTTGGTGGGGTGGAAACTCACAGAGATAAAGTACAGTTATAAGGATAATATGGATCTGGTGGAAGTCAGAATCCTAGCAGACGAAGAAATAGAGAAAACACTGAAAGAGAAATTCAATATAACACTAGACAAGAAACTTGTACCCATCAATAAAAGCAGGTTGTCTCTGTTTTAACTCACTGCAGTGGCATTATGTGCAATCTTTCCCTCTATTTCTGTTCTGACAAGCATCTAAAGGTTAAGCTTACTCTTTCCATCTACACCAGTGTAAGGCAGAACATATTAGCATGGATCTGGAAAAGAAATTGATTTTCACAACTGCTCCTGCATCTCTTTTTGGAACAAATAATTTCTTCCTAGCTCAATCAAATCACTCCCCTTCTGTTTGTGCTTAGCTGGAAGCAGACTCTGCCCATTCCTACTCCTTTCATCTCTTAAAAGCTTTTCCAGATACATCCAGAGTAGCAGGGCAGAGTGATGGAGCTGTATGTCTCTTTCTTTATTACTTTGCACTGCCACCTGGGGGAAATCATACCCACCTCTTAAATGAATATCATATTATTTTTGGAATTTAATAGCCAGAAAAACAAAACCATCCAGTGCTGAGTTTGCTACAGTTAAGCTATAAGCCTGTCCTTTTTGCTCTTGCATTCACAACGGCCTCTCACGTGGCAGTCGGACAGTCCCACACCTCGGCTGCACTGTGTGGATCCTTACGGATGGGCTATTTATGGCCTAAAACCGATAATGAGAAATATTAGCAGGCAGTTCTGTCTTGGTTCAGACTTTACCTGACTCCTGTTCCCTTAGTGACATAACCAAAAAGCAGTATTGCTTTGAACTGAAAGCATCTCCTATGCATTTTGGCTGCTCCCACCCAGCAGTGGACTGCTGGGAACACACGCTCCGCTCATAAGTGCTACTCTTCCCCGAGTGTTCTTGCACCTTAATTATCATGGCTGAACTCGAACACAGGCACAGAATTATTTTTCTGAAACAGATCTGTTCTACCGAGGATGTGTTTGCAGTGATATTAATTATATTGATACAAGGAGAAATGATGAATCTTAATCAGATACCTAAAGGTTAAGATTTTTAGCATGAGGAATTACTCAAATGTAATCACTTTGCCCTTTGCGATGATGCTTGCTGTTCCTTTATGTACAAATCATGGAAGCATTACAACTATGCACTTGTAATTAAGTAAATTATAGAAATGAATTACAATTTAATAAAAAAAATCAAGAATTGTGAAGAACTATTCAGCTGGTTTTTGCCCAAATTACAATGTGTATCCCAAAGTAAAAAAAATTATTAATCACTGCAGTTGTCCTGATTATTTGTATGTGCTAATATTATGCAGCTAAGGCTTTTAAAAATACGATAACTCACTGACCCTTTTTTGTTATGCAATACATGCAGCTATCTATAACTACCAATTTATAGTTAATAAAAGCTATTCTGCGTGTTCACAATGTATTTTGTAGAGATACAGTGAGTTCCCCAAATCTCTTCCCGGAGATGCATTTGGCTGCATGTGTGCAATAGTCCCTTACAGCACATGAGGCTCCCCCATCCTATAGGGAAATGGAAATGTTAACGACTGACCCTGTAGGAGACTGAAGAAGAAAAAGGGGCTTCTTATGGTGTGGACCTCACCTCTCCTATGAGGACAGGCTGAGAGAGTTGGGCTTGTTCAGTCTAGAGAAAAGAAGGCTGCGGGGAGACCTGATTGCGGCCTTTCCAATTTATAGTTAATAAAAGCTATTCTGCGTGTTCACAATGTATTTTGTAGAGATACAGTGAGTTCCCCAAATCTCTTCCCGGAGATGCATTTGGCTGCATGTGTGCAATAGTCCCTTACAGCACATGAGGCTCCCCCATCCTATAGGGAAATGGAAATGTTAACGACTGACCCTGTAGGAGACTGAAGAAGAAAAAGGGGCTTCTTATGGTGTGGACCTGCAGTTTGCAACACAGATGGTCAGAAGAAACTGTCCCAGGATCTGGCTTGCTTGCAAGCTGTCCCCTTCTTTGGTCCCTGTGCCAGTGGAAGACTGAACAAACCTGGTGGGTTTTTCCTTGCAGCAGCCTGGCAGCTGGGGCACAGCATCGGGACGGAGCTAAAAGCCTGGCCAGGTCTCACAGAGGTGTGGGGCAGGAGCAGGTCCATGGCAGAGCCAAGAAGCTCCGTCATTTGTAGGAACTCAGGCACAGGGGACAACTAGAAAGGGCTGTGCCAGTTCCTTTCCCGGTGCCTGGGTGTTTCTCAAGCTTTGGGCTGTTTCGCAGGCTCAGGGGAAGGAGTAGGGCGTTATGTGCATTGCCCCAGAGATTCAGCCTGTGAAGGGCAAACAAGAATAGGAAAAAGCACTTTCCTTTCAGCTGACTCATCTCCTCGAGCGCATGCCCCGGCTGCTGCTCTGGCTGCTGCCCGCTCCGTGGCACAGCTCAGCGCTTCTGGACCTCCTGCTCAGCACACCCACAGAAGCAGATTTTATTGCTGAGCAATGGAATGAAGTTCTCTGTTGGAAGGGGAAAAAAAAAAAAAAGAGAGGCCTTTCATCCCAGATTGCACTAGTTTGCTTTTTCCTTATCACTAACTTTGGAGGCGAATCCTTAAAGGCATAGTAGGCTCAGGGAGTCCAGCGCTCTCTGGGAACAGCACCCTCGCTGCCAAAGCACAGGGATTCTGTTGAACCCAAGGGAATTTAGACAGCTAAATGACTTTGCAAATCTGACCTTGCTGCTTTGGCTGTCTGGTATCAGCCACGAAGCAAAGCTCGGTGCGGTGTGATTAATGCAACAGTTGCCACCCCCTGCCAAGAAATCAGTGACTTCCTTGGCTTGGATTAGTAGCTCTCCATCATAAGTCACTTCCTACAGGGATGCAGGCCACATATGCATCAACAATGTATCAGCTGTATCAGAATTTGAACCATTGGCTTGCTATCAAGGTGCCCCACAGACCGAAGGTCCCGGGTGACGGGGGTTATAAGCACTTACAAAAGTTGCTTGCGATACCCATACTGTATTTCTCCTTTGCATTCCTGGAGGGCTTCCGTTCTCAGTCAGAAACGTGGGAGGTTAAAATCCACTCAATATTGTAAGCAATTTGGGGACTGGATCATTTTCAGGCTCTCTGTGCAGCACCTAATATGATTAATTGCATGACAGGGCTTTCTATGCATATGCCAATACAAATAAACCAACAAAACCATCAGAATATAAATGATTATAAAAGAAGGAACTCTCTCCCCTCTGCTCCTGCTCTGCTGGAGGATAATGCTGTCCCTGCCAGGCAGTAAAGGCAGCCTGGACCTTTAAGAGCAGCAGTTCCCAGTGCAACTCTTCCTGGGAACTTTGGAGCAAACCAGGGCTGAAAGCCTGAGCTCGCTGGCTGAGAGGTAAGCGCCCAAGCGTCTGATCTTTAACTTGATGCAGCAGTGGGTCAGCCGGTTTGGAAAAGCCCACCCCTGTGTGTCTGCATACCTTGTGCATAGCACTGGAGGTATATTAGCAAAGTATAAATTACAGCAGCCCTGCGGCTGACAGCGCGCGTTACATTGCAAGGACATTGTCTAAGGACAAAGACCAAGTGCTCGTGACTTAAACTAACCCCTTTATGCTGAGCCAGAGCATACGAAAAACCCAGCTCCTGACTCTCAGAGTAGCTTAAAATCAAACAAATGGTATAGGCATGTGCAAGAAGATCCAACCTTGGAAACCTTTCATGAATTTTAGCAGAGAGGAACTATTCAGCCTAATTATGAAAGGACACAGGGATCCCCAGGGACGCTTGCAGGCAGGCAGAACTAACGTCTGAGTCTTGCTACCCACCACGCTGCTCCTGCAAATGTGCATGAATGCTGAATGAAGCTCGGCTGCTGTGGGAGCAAAAGCAAACAAGGCTGAGACCTGGACTGAGGCTTAAGACATTTGGCAACCTGGTTTGGGAATGCGAACTTTCTCCTGGGTGAGGGCTTGCTTGCTGCAAAGTGAGAATGGCCGTGCCAAGAAGAAAAGCTGCCTGCGGGGAAAGCGAGGGAGTAAACACTGGTTTATGCGAATGCTCCCTAACGCCAATGAGTTTGTATTGCATCTTTATTATACTTAAACCTCTTTAAGTATTCATTGAGGTCAGAGCCCGTTTTGTCAGCCACGACGAGGCTATCTCTACTATACAGGCTTTAAACTGATGAGAGGCAGAGAAAGGCCATCTGGGGAAACTGAGGAGTGGGCTGCAAATTTCCCCAAATGTGTTCTCCTGAAGCCTCACTGCCAGCACCCCATGGAAGCTCTTGATGGGGAGGTTGCTCCTGGCTGGAAGAGGGGAGCTGGTTATACGCTGCACTCTTGCCGGGGTGATGGGGACACCCAGACCCAGGAGATAGGTGATAGGGAGGGCATCAGATCTTCTGCCGCTGGCCCAGAGAAGGGACTGATTGGTTTTTTTGTCTTGAAAGCAAATTCCAAACATATGAGACCCACCAGGCTAGCAGACTTGCTTGAGCCCCTCCTGGTCACAGGGGTTCACCTTGACACCATCAGAGGGAGAAGAAGTTTCTATCCGGCTACACGAAATGGCTAGAAGTGGGAATAGAAAGAAAAACAAGGCAGAGGACCACAGGATGGGCTTGCTAATGTACACGTGCGCTGTCAGTTGGGGAGGGAATGGCTTTCTACAACCAGCGTTTCCAAGGAGATCCTGCCAGAGATGAGTGCCCTTGTCCTAAAAAAGGGATGGAAAAAAACCCATAAAATGCAGTATCAAAGACATATTACTGTTTTTTCATGTAGCCTCTTTGGGTCCTTTTGAAGTGAAAATGTTTACTTCTTATTCCCTTATTGGGATAGTCCTCTATTTTATTACATTTCTCTGTGTATTTCCATCAGCCAGTCTGAATCCTGGTACCAGAGCAGATCAGGAGCAATACAACTAAGTCAAGTAAGTTGTGCTGCTGGCATCAAAATTGGGGTTAAAGTCTAGAGATTAGGTCATCTGAGGTGCTCACCTGCTGTGGCGGGGGTATTTCCACCTATGTATTTGAGATGATATTTTCAAAAGCTCTCCGCACTCACTTGAGGGCCGGCCTGGGCATCAGGTCAAACCGATGGTGACTCCTAAGGGAGCAGTTGGACCAAAGCTGCGAAAAGTCACTGGAAGGTAACCTCTCCCATCTCATCTACATCAAATGATTTTTGGAAAATCCTCCCAGGCAATGTGCAACTGATTTCAAGGAGCAAGAAATCCTCAGACCTTTTGGAAATTAATACAGTACTTAGCAGATTGTGAATTGTTCTGGAAAACAAATATCCTTGCATGGAAAAAAGCCAAATTAAATCTAAATTAAAGGCAAAAGAAATCCTTGCAGATACCAGATGAGTCAGTGGATTAGAAGTGTTATAGGGAACCTTTTGCACCTTGGCCACGCAGCCAGTACCAATGACAGTCTCTTTCTGCTAATGAAGGGAAAGGAAAGGGGATCAGAGACATGAAGACACAAAGTATATCGAATAATTTGAGCTGAAACTAAGGTCTTTGGTTTGTAAAAGATGGCAAAATAAACCAAAAGCTGATGAATACACCTTGAATGTATTCTTAGTAATTATCAATTCCTCTGACCCTTAGGTTAGAAAAATGAAGAGTGAGTTCCTTTCAACAGCCAGGGTCAAAGCTCTGTCTGAACTCCACAGGAAAACTAAAGGGATGAAGAAAACAACAATCTACTTCACATGGAAGCCCGTCTAAAATGGTGACACGCTGAGATGTTAATCCCAGTTAGCTGAAGCCATGAATGTAAAACCTTCCAGTTAAATTACCTGTGGGATAAATAAAGAATTGCTTACCTGTTACGGTAAAGGAAACAGTAAGAAACTGCTGTGACTTTTATGCCAGTATGGTCTAACAGCTTTTCTGCAAACCTGTTGCTTGTCAGTTTTACAAATTTTTTGTCATGTGGGACCCTCATCCGGGGCCAGCGATTCTGTTGTGCCATGTGCCGTGTCTTCCCATAGGAAAGACATTCACCTGGGTTGAAGGCAACATCTGAGAGAGAGAAAGCATTATTGTCACCTGCTCCTATCCTCATTGCTTTTCTAAAAATTACAGATGACACACGCAGGTCTAGCCTGCATTTATCTCCTGTCAAGGACACAGGTTTCTTTCAAATCCTCAATAAAATGGCCGAGGCTACCTTTGCAGGCTGGTTAACCTGCGCCGCAGAAATAGGAATGAACCTCTTGATAGCCGCACAACAATAACTGGCTATTTTTCTGCTCACACAGGCAAATGGACCTTCAAGAATATTTCACAAGAATTTCTTACAACGATTCCCATCAGGATGCAGACTTGCAAACCTTAACAGTCATCTTCCAGCATCACATCCAGGCGATTCCTTTCGAAAACCTCAGCATGCACTGCGGAGAGACCATTGAACTGGATTTACAATCTACTTACAATAAGATTGTGAGAAAGAAACGTGGTGGATGGTGCCTGGAAAGCAACCACCTTTTATTTTGGGCCTTGCAAGAATTAGGGTATGATGTCTGTATCCTTGGAGGAAATAGTTATGATCCAGCAGAGAAGGCATATAAAGATGAGTTAAATCATATCCTACTGAAGGTGGTGATCAAGGGAAATTCCTACATAGTAGATGCTGGTTTTGGTGGTGCCTACCAGGCGTGGCAGCCATTGATGTTGATTTCTGGGAAGGATCAACCCCAGATCCCCGGCATCTTCCGCTTCATGGAAGACAACGGCACCTGGTACTTTGAGAAAGTCAAAAGGAAGCATTATATTCCTGAGCAAAATGTCCCTTTCACTGATACTTCAGAACCGGGGAATATCAGAAAAATCTATAGGTTCACTCTCGAGCCACGACATGTAAATGACTTTCAGGAGCTAAACACATACCTACAGGTGTGTCCAGAGAATATACTTCAGAAGAAGTCAATCTGCAGTCTCCAGACCACTGAAGGGCTTTATGCCTTAGTTGGATGGACCTTCACTGAGATGAAGTATAACTACATGGAGGACCTGGACCTGGTGCAGATCACAACTCTTACAGATGAAGAGGTTGAGAAGACACTGAAAGACAAATTCAAGATAGTGCTGGAGAACAAACTTACACCAGTAAACGTTCGTGGCTTGCCACCTAATTTAGTGGATACGATGTAATTCTAACACTGTGCTAGGTGGATCTTTAAATATCCAAAACAAAAAGTTCTAAAATCAATATTAATAACATTAATCTGATTCTAAAGTTGAGCTAGTCAGATGAACACAAAGCTTGGTAAATTCAAGTACATTGCTAATTAACTGCATATACTGATAGCATATTTTTTCTTAAGCTTCTCCTTCTTTGAAATAGAGACTTCTTACTACCTCTAATTTGCCTGTATAGAAATTACTTTTTGACTCCATAACATTTTGTTCCACCTCTCTGGATCTCATTTTATTTCAGACATATTTTGTGGCAAAGGAGACCAAAACGATACAGAAGGAGAAGCTGTGTTACCATTTTACACAAAAGACCTCTAACCTTTTTTTGGTATGATTTCCAATCTGCTCAGCAGTTTTACAAATTATTCACTTCCTTTAACAGTCTGAAACAGAAAGTTGAGCTGCATTTGGCTTTCAGAGACTTCATGAAAAAAGGAAGGTTAAGACTTTCTCAAAACAAGCCACTGTTAGGTGCTGATTAGTTTATGATGAAATAAGTTGAAAGACTTGAGTCATATACCCTTACCAGGAATTGACTTAAAGCGAGCTATTTATGCAAGGGCACTTAAAAAACCCCAAAAGCTCTCTAATTGTGAGGGTCCATTTTTTCAGAGTCTGATTTTTATGCATCTCTGAAATGGAAACAAAATCAATAGAAGCTGAGGCAACTCAACAGTTCTTAAAAATCAGACGTTTGGTATCAAAGATGGAAACAAAGTTAGATCAACCTTTGCAGACTACAATATAAACTTTTGGGGCCTAACCTTCCTGTGATGTCAGGTGGGCATGACAGCATTATACATAAAACTCTGTATTTCTTACAAACAGTATTCTGCACAAAAGCTACCTTAAATAAGTAATACTGCAGATGCAAAAGAAAACACTGGGAAGTTAGGACGTGCACCAGCGTGGTTTCACAGCATGTTAAATGCAACACAAAAGCCTTTTACCTTTGCGATACCTGTGGCAGGTACCGTACAGGATGGGTCATGGAAGAGGGCGACAGAAGAGCATCAGTCAGCCAAGGAAAAGACTTTGATGCTTGTATTAGTTCCAGGCTCATGGGGCACCTGAAGTGCCTAAACCTCAGGTGCTTTCCCAGATGCAGACTAATGTGCTCATTGCCTTTCCAAAAGGGACCTCCGACTTTCCACCTCCGTCAAATGAAGAAGAGACATGCTTGACCGGGAGAGCATTAAATAAACACTTTGAAGGTGCAGAAGGCCAAGTTCTAGAGAGGAACTGCATTACTTTGTATTTTTCATGGTATTCATTAGGTGTGGCAGCTCCAAAATAACTACCTGCTGCGGTGGCAGCTTTGAACAGACCGAAGAAGTTCCTTTGTGAGCAAAGAAGGGTCATTTTGTGCATCCGCGGAGCCTGGGAAAACGCATCCTGCGATACCTTGGCAATTCAGTACACCTACAAGGAAGCAGGTGACTATCCTTCACTGCAAGGTGCTGGCTTACAAAGTAACAATAATTTAATTTAAAAAAAATTATGGAGCCATTTCTGACCATCTACTGCAATTATTTTACCTGGAAAACAAGTTCAGTCTGGTCTTAACCAGGGAAAAACATAAACATCTATTAATAGAGAAGAAACAAAGTTTAATTTGCTCATGGATCAGTGAAGTCCAAAAATGTGCGTTCATTTAGGGTGGACTCTGCCCCTTCTCCACGTTTAAGATTCAGGAGTGAGGGCCAGCAGAGCTTAAAGAGGAAGACAGCCCTTGCGATTTGTATCCACTCCTGGCTTTACTGACTGCTGTCCCAGTAACAAACAACCCAGAAGCTGAATACATCAATCAATCAATAAATAAGGCTATTTTAAGAGGTAAGTTTATTCTCTTAAAAAAACCCTCCAAAACACCCAAACAACAAACTTGGTTTATTTATGATTGGTAAAGGTCATGGGCAATAACGTGAGCAGTATTCCCTTTAGCAAAAATGTTATAAACATGTGTGGATATAGAGCTAAAATATTGCCTGCTAAACATGGGCTTTTAAAAAGGGCAAAAAAATGATACTGCAATTTCAGTTCTTCTGTCTTTCTGCTCCTCAGGAGGAGATTCTCTTGACTATGAGATGCTTTTGTTTAGATACTATGGTGGACACAAATTTAGAACTACAACCTCTTATTGGAAGTGACTCTTTTAGATTTTTAACTTTATTTTATAATACTGCAAAGGCAAAGGAAGCAAAAAAGCAACCTAATAGTCAATAGATTCTGCTTTATGGGAATAAAATTACGGTCTTTTAAAAACAACTTAAAAAAAAAGAAATTACAAACTGTGGATTGCGTACCCCAGAAGTCCATGTGCTGGTGTATTAGGATAAAAGTAGACAGATAACGTATTTTAACAGTACAGATAACGTATTGCAACAGTCAAATTGCTGACAGCATGTATAGTCCTGTTAAGGAATATTTTGGCACAAACACCTTCATTTGCACATTTTGAAATCGTTCTTTAAAGTTCTTCTGCTGCTGCTTTTCTCCGCATAAATCATAGCCACATTTGTGGGACTACCTTTTCCGTATCTAGCTTTTCATCTGATCTGCTCACAGTTCAAAAGAACTGTAGCTTTCATCTCCCACAGTCAAGATTTAATGCTGATCAATCATATTATGGAGCTGCAGAGAGAAATTACAAACATTATAAACTCGAGAACCAGTTTTATGCTGGTGTGATCTATTTAGCACTCACAATTTGAGTGGGTAGGATTGGATAGACTCGGATTCTGCAAATCAAAAGAAAAAAGTGCCAGAAGTCTTATGTTCTACTTAACAAATATTACATCGAGAATATCCCCCCAAAATACCCTTAAATATCACTGGAAGCTTAAATATCATGGGAAGCTAAATTCCTTTCTGTAGGAGATAACACGTGGTTTTTGATGGGGCTCTCCATTCACTTTGGACAGCTGCTTCTATACCACGCATATGCACATCACTAATCTTGTCACCGAAAATCATCTTGAGAAATTCTAGTTTGCAGTAAACATTCAATGGTTCACCGCTGAATTTATCTGAACACAACAGTCTTCCTGAGTCACTAATATTAAGTGTCTAAACCTCAGCTTACTGTATGCACAAAAGATTTCCAAGTAGCTTTGTGGGTTGTCAAGAAGCTAAGTATTTGCAATAACACTAGACTGCTGAAATGCTTGGTGATTTCTTTGCAAAGGTTCAGGCCTTCAGAACGTTTTGTGCCCAGCTCCATAACCAAGCAGATGATCTACACGGTGTTTTTCAAACGGTATTTATCAGGTACTTACAGAGCATCCAGCTCGTAACGGTGGCCAGCAGACTGTGATGGGCCATTGCCAAAGCTAGATGGCTGTGCGTGACTTTCCATGGTATTAGAAGGCAGAAAATCAGTTGAGTCGTTCCTCATCCAGAAATCTTGCTCATGAGGAGTCCTACCAAGGCAGGCCAGGAGGTTGGCACTGCTGGAGGCAGGACAGACCAGGGATGCACTGCACCAGGCTTCAGTAATTCTCAGTTATGCTTCCTTGGGAAGGAATAAAATGAGTTTTGAGAAAGGCCAGGACTGGAGACCTGTACAGCAGCCCTTGTCCATTTTCAGGGCACCCTGCGAGATGTGGGGCACAGCAGGGAATAGAGATGTGCTCTTTGTCTTTTAGGTCACTCACCTCCATTCAGATTCATTATTCCAACACCAAAACGAGTTTGTGCAACACTCAGAGCAGACAAAAGACTCAGGGCTCTGCGACTCTTGCAAAGGTCAGAGGCTTTTTTCAGTTATAATTATCTGAATAAAACTTGACACTATAAAATGTGCAGGGAGTATCGTTTTCACTTTTTCTAAGTGGTGAAAGAGCAACGTGTACTGAACGAGCAATTCATTTACTGTCACGTAGATCAGCGGCAGACACATGAAAAGAACATGTGAATCCTGGCTCAAATTATCCTCCCTCCGACTGGCAGACGACACCGCTTCCCCCACTGACATGCCTTTCACCGAACAGTGGATTTAGTCTGGTTTTCATGAAACCTCCTGAACACTCCCTAGCGTGATCTTACACGTCTTCTTAACCCTATGGTTACAAGGCAAATACGGCATCCCCGTTTTGCAGCCATCTCATACCAAGCTGAAATTGCATCAGCTGTTTGCCATAGGGATGACTCTAAGACAAAAAGCAAACCTGCTCTGGGAACCATTTGATATGAATACTTGTTACCTTTAAAAACTGCTCTGATGCAGTTCAGGAGATTAAAGCATCTTTGCTGGCAGCGGTCTGGGCAGTTTTTCACAGCATCATAAATCACTGATGTAAAGAAACAAAACCAAAATGTAATTCCTTCCTTTACAGGTGACATGAACCTTGAAGAGTATTTTGCAAGAACTGGCTATAAAGGTTCCCTTGAAAAACAAGATTTGGAAACCTTAACTGATATATTCCAGCATCACATCCGTGCTGTTCCCTTTGAAAACCTCAGCATCCATTGCGGGGAGAAGATTACTTTGGAGTTGGAGCATGTTTATAACAAAATCGTGCGGAGGAAGCGGGGTGGCTGGTGCATGGAAAACAACCAGCTCTTGGGCTGGGTCCTGAAACGCCTGGGGTACGACACCAGCTTTCTGGGAGCCTACGTGTTCAATCCCCATCAAACCGCGTACGCCACCATCATGACCCATCTCCTTGTAAAGGTAGTCATTGACGGCAAAGCCTATATTGTTGACGGAGGCTTTGGTGTATCCTATCAGATGTGGCAACCGATGGAGCTGGTGTCGGGGAAAGACCAGCCCCAAGCTCCCGGTGTCTTTCGCTTCACGGAAAAAAATGCCGTCTGGTACCTTGAGAAAGTGAGACGGAAACAATATATCCCAAATCAAAATTTCTCTAATTCTGATCTTCTGGAGAAAAAAGAGTGTCGGAAAGTTTATATGTTCAGCCTTGAGCCACGGACAGTGGAAGACTTCCGTTTCCAGTGCACGTACCTTCAGACATCTCCAGATTCCCTCTTTACAAAGAAGTCCATCTGCACCCTCCAGACCACCGATGGCTTTCGAGCACTGATTGGGTGGACGTTCACTGAGACCACATACAACTACAAGGAAAACATGGATCTGGTGGAATTCGTATCTCTTGAAGATGAAGAGGTGGAAAAAACACTCAAAGAGAAATTCAACATAACCCTAGATAGAAAACTTGTCCCAATTAACGTCAAAGGATTTTACACAATCTAGATGACCAGAAAAATCTGCAGTAATGCTATGTATGGTCAGTACCTTCCACTGCCTGTGCAACCGCTATTGTAAGATTATGGGATTCTTTTGCAGGCAATTGAAAGAAAAGCACACTAATACCAAATTAAAGTGAATTTTACTCTGGGAAACATCAGGAATTTAAGACTCTTCTGTCAGTTAGATAGAATTATTTGCTGTGAGATGACTGCAGTTTAACTCTTGGCACAACTGTAGGATCTGATTTGAATCTGGTTATAAAGTTGGGTAATAAATATGTCTGTGAAATTTTGGAGTGCCTATAGCCCATAAATAGGGATATATATATATGGATTTTTTTTGGTGATACGCTGCCAACACATTTTCTATGGTTCTATGGAGAAAAGTAATCTGTGAACATTTAAACAATGAAGTACATATTTAAAACTTCATTTTTCACAAGATCTAACCACTCACAGCTCATCTCATTTCTCTACCTTTTGTGCTGGTTTTGGCTGGGGTAGAGTTAATTTTCTCCACAGTAGCCGGTATGGGGCTATGGGTTGGATTTGTGCTGGAAACATCATGGATAACACAGGGATGGTTTCCTTACTGCTGAGCAGGGCTGACACAGAGCCAAGGCCTTTTCTGCCTCTCGCCCCACCCCATCAGCGAGGGGCTGGGGTGCACAAGGAGCTGGGATCTGACCCCAACTGACCCCAGGGGTATCCCACACCGTAGGCCGTCATGCTCAGCACATACAGCTGGGGGAGAAGAGGGAAGGGGGGGATGTTGGGAGTGATGGTGTTTGTCTTCCCAAGTCGCCATTACATGTGATGGAGCCCTGCTGTCCTGGGGATGGCTGAGCATCTGCCTGCCCATGGGAAGCAGGGAATGAATTCCTTGTTCTGTTTTGCTTGCACATGCAACTTTTGCTTTCCCTATTAAACTGCCTTTATCTCAACCCGCAAGCTTTCTCACTTTTACCCTTCTGATTCTTTCCCCCATCCCACCGGTGGGGAGTGAGTGAGCGGCTGCGTGGTGCTTAGTTGCCTGCTGGGGTTAAACCATGACACCTTTAATAAAACCATGTAATCCTTGAAAGGAGCACTAGGAGGCACAATTCTTTCACCGTCATCCTTAGACAAAACATAGTACAAAATGAAAATTATCATCACATTCATCCCTTTTGTCGTTGTTGCAGTAAACTGCCCAAAGTAATTTTTGGTACGTATATATTTTCTGGTGACGCAAGTTGTATATATTGCAGCATTACTGTGGCTGATGGGCTCTAAGGAGATACCTACAAGTTTTGCTTCTGGTAAATAATCATCCTATGAAAGGTGAATGGTGCTTCAGCATCTCAACTGGTTTAGCTTTACTTCTATCCCAAAAGGGGTGGAAATTTGGTATTTTTAGCATTGCAAATTATTTGCATAACAAAGGTAGAACAACAAAGCTAACCCCACTATACTGTTATTTTTGCCCTCTGTGTCTAGCAAATATGGGAGCCCCTATGGCTATCCTGAACGAGTACCACTTGGCACAGGAGCTTTAGTGTCACCAGTGTGTTCACTCATCTGTATCAAAGTGAAAAAGATCAAAGAGCCAACCAAATCTAAAGGAATCCCATTCTTTAGAATTATATCACAACCACATTTCCAAATTTTAAAAACTTTTTTTTCTTTTTTTTCCCCACAAAGTCCAAACAAGGAAACCACTGAGAAAGGGCAAGCATTCTCAATTGCATCCAAAAAATAGCATTAACACTGAAAAACACCCTTTCTTCCCAATCTATGATAATCCTAAGTACTGATCAAATGTTGATTCTTCCCACTGATAGTGTATCTGTTTTCTCAAAGACATCATCTGATCATAAATCTCATAAATGCTGTAAGCATATATAGCTGAAAATAAATAAAGAATAAAACCATGAAGAGCTGCTGTAAATACAGCCTCCCCCCCAACTGCATGACTCCTGCACACACCATTTGCTAAGTAAATGAGGGTCTGTTCAGTCACGCTAACAATCTGCTGCCCAACCCTTCCCCACCACAAACTTCTTGAACCAAACAGGCCAATATTGAACAAATTTGGCAGCAGCGTTGGAGATGGTAAGTTCCTACCAGTTCCTGGACAAAGAGCTCGTAAGCTGAGGAAGAAGACGATCACCAAAGAGGAGGCCCAGTAGCTGCCTCCTCTGCTGGGCTCAGCAGCCAACAGCGCTGGGCTGGCTGTGGTGCGTGCCGGCTCTTCCCCGCTGACTGGCCACAGTGGTGGTGATGCTGGCACAGGGACAAGGAACGAAGGGCCAAGCAGAAGGTGACAGAGGACACTGAAAGATCTTACTGAGGTGGGAAGACAGTTTTTCTCTAAATAACGGAACTAAGGACTTTGTTCTCTAATTTGTGTTCATATTATTCTCTCATACTCAGCTCCCATTAAGGGTTTTTACCCCTTTCTAAATGATTCATCAAACCGAGGTGTTCCCCAAGGAACATTACGAGCTTCAAAACACTCACCATCTCCATTCTAGCTGACAGAAACTGCCAATTGCATCCACCCAGGTCACCAAACCCTACTTCTCTATGCAATGAACTACACTTGTTTTCTGGTGCTGCTGCCCCTTGCCTTGAGGACAGCCGTTAACAAAGTGGTTATTTTGCCTCCATGCTTCTGTAGAGATGTTCCTGCTGCTGCTCCCAGGTAATTGCTCAGGTTATGGTGTGCAAGGGTTTCTTGGGCAGAGGTCTATGGACTCGTATCAGCATTTTTAATTGTGCCTGGAATGATGTGACTCAACCCAGATACCCCCTTCTACTATTCAAATACTAAAAATTGATGGGACTGCCGATGAGTGAAGCTTCAACCACTTCCCTGACGTCATCTGTCGATAACCACTCCCTGAGCAGGATTTTTCCTCTCGATGTGACAATTATAACCAGGTCCTCACTGCGCAACATCAAATCACATGAAGAAATGTCAATGCGTACAGCTGAGGAACAGTTTCACAGTTTAACTAAAGCTCCCCAAAAGCTGACAAAAGCAGGTTATGAAGTGTGAATGCCAGACCCAAAATGCCTCCAAGGTTTGAGATAAGAACGGTGTAAAAAACAAACAAAAGTAAACAAACCCAGAGGCCTCAAGCTGGGGTTCCATTAGCAAGGCATTATTGTAGAAGGGAGATGCTCTCCCAGACTGAAAAGAAAACCAAGTCCTTAAAGCATCAGCTCTCAAAGAAACCTGCGTTCACATGCAGAAGGGAAACACGGGATGTTTGACATCCTTCATCACCACTATGCTTTATTAACACTCTCTCTCAGAAAGGTTTAACGGAGAGCCTAAGCTATTGTGCAGTTTTAGCTGTTGACTGTTGTTGAAATGAAGCAGAACAAATGCTTGTAACACCCCACACAGGACTTGTATAATTCCAAATACAATTTAAAAGTATGGTATTCCAATTAACAGAAAGACGAGACAATTTCTTTGTAAGTCTGAATGCTGGATTAAGTCCCAGAATCCCAGCCCAGCTGCCCATTACACATACACGCAACGCCCAATGGCAACGACAAGCCAGCCGTGATTGTAGAATTGTATAAAGGAATGTCTTATTAGAAAACAAGACACATAACAGAAGAAACATGGTTCAAACTCCATTGCACCACTGAACACCCTCCCCTCTCCCCAAAGAATCAAAGTTTAATCAGCTCATGCGTTACTAAAGGGAGGATACAGGATGACTCGCTTCAGTTGGACTCTGGTCCTGACTTTTTAAGATCCAGCATTAAGCAGAATGAAAGTAACAAAATGAGAAACATCAGCAAGAAAAATGAAGTTGTTCAGTAGTTCCATGTTTCCAGCATCAGCAGGTATTACAGAAATAAATACCGTCAGCCTGTCAAAGGGAGGGACAAAACTTCACCCGACAAGAGACACACTTAACACCGTGAGCCGCCTGTGAGCGTGACCTACAGCGCACACGTTGCTTTGTTCACTTTAATGGGTACCGTGGTGTAACAGGCACCAGCGCTTCTGGTGTCTGGTAACTCTTAACCCATTAACTTTTGCAGGTAGCCATTTTCTTTACCAAAAGTGCTTACCACTTACCCAACTTGCTTTTCTTCTCAAAGAAGAAACGCTTTTCATTTAGAAACACGACCACGTGGGGAAGTTCTACAGCTTAGGAAACCGCACATGAAAATGCATCTGTATTTGAGACTCTGTCAGAGCCAAGAAAGTGTGAATTAATGTAGGTTCACATTATGAATATTTCACCGCTACACTTACATCTCTGTCAAGAGTCGTTCAAGCACAGATTTTATATAGCAGAATGTTTCTACCCTGGCTAGGAAGCTAGAGCCAGACTTAAAATACATGCGTGAATATATATGTATTTATAAGGCTGGAAATATAGATGGGTATTTCAGAAAATCCCATCATAAAACGCCTGCTCTTACCTGTGGGAACTGAAAAGTACATTTAAAAAGTCACATACGGCTGCCTTTAGTTTTGTCTTGCTCATAATAATGCACTATGAGTGGTGCTTTTAAAGGTGCATTTTACAAACTTCCCATGAATAAGAGATTGTGCTAAAAATTAGTAGTTGGTCTTACTGTAGCATTTCAATAGCTCACCTAGTCTTCAGCTAAATGTGAACAGCAGAGCACCCAGATTTGAAGACAATAAACCAAAATCTATCATTTCTTCACAGCTGGAGTTGGACAGGTTTAAAAAGCAGAAGAACCACCCTTCCCCTCACCCAAATTCCAAAATCATGGATTTTCTAGGAAGCTGTTAAGAGTTCACTCAGGCTCTTACCCACGCACCACGCCACTCACACTTCCAGCCATCCCTCAAGAAACGACAGGAAATTAAGGACCAACATATGGCAGAACGTCCTTTAACTGTGCAAAATTAGCCCCCATTGGACTGAAAAGAACTCTGCAATGCAAGAGAGCTCTCTGCACAGAGCCTTGGCAAAGAAAGACTTCACACAGGGTTCATCTGAGCCAGTAATCGTTACCGAAATCGCCCCAAAGCTCCTTTGCGTGACACCACTGGAACCTTCTCCAATCCATTGTCTCTCAGGCCATGCAATTGGAGTGGCATCTCCTGGTTGCCAGTGGTTCATTAGACCACACCTTCCCCCCTTCAAGTATCCAGCATAGCTCTGCAGAAATTCTCTCTCCATTGAAGAAATGTATTCAAATAGAGGGGAATCATTTCCCTACTAATAAGCAAAAAAGAATAATGGGATATATTCCGAGTTTTCCTTGTGATGACCAACAATAATAAATCTTTTCTTAGCTCAGGTCACATCTTCCATGGGAAGACAAATGTCTTGCCATCATTAACTTCTTTTCAGCTCGCAATAATATATGATCAGGTTTTACGTAATTGAACCAGTAGCATCTAATTAGCTCTGAAAAACTATCTCAGATCATGAATCACAGACTTCCCACCTGTGTAAGGTCCCCTTAGTAGCTTAAAAGTGTATTTCTCTTTCCATGTGTGATCCATCTTGAATATCTAATGAGGCGCTCTGGATATATGGATGATAGTTCATATTATCACATGCAAAATACAGCAGACACAGAGTCTCTTTCTTTATATAATTGAGTTTCATGTCTTGCTTCACAGAGTTGTTAAAAGACAAAAAAAAAAAAAATCCAAACCTCTCGCGTCCATGACTGAATGGCCACTACTTGCTTCAATTTAACAAATTCCTCTTTCTCCAGAGTCAGCATTAAGGATGAGTAACTTAGAAATCTAGCTGGGGAAATGAAGTAATAGAAAGAAATATTTCTTGTTGAAAGCCAGGATACAGAGAACTGCTATAACTTTAGACAAGACCACTTTGACATTTTTCAATAGGCCCAGAGCACTGACTGACCAAAGGGCATGGTGTTTCCGTCCTAACATTACTTCATTGCACACTAAACAGAAAAAGTCAGTGCAGTCAATTAATATTTGGGGACATCTGTGGCCAGCACAAAACAGGATCACTTCTTATATAGACTGTATTAGGCAGATTTTTTACATTAAATTAGCTAAACCACAATCATTAACCACAAAAAAAATCGTTTTTTATTCAGCTTTCAAGTATGTTTCTGAAGCTGTTATTATGCTTTTATGACAAGACCTAGATAATTACAAGATTGAGGGTTTTTTGCTGAAAAGGAGACAAGATTAGCAAACTTCTTTTGGAAGACAGAAATTAAGATTCACAATCTGCTCAAGTGTCAAACTGTAAATGTTGCCCAATATTTGGCTTGCTCTATAAAAAAAACATTTACTACAAACCCCTCTATTTTTAAATAAGCTTTATAAAAAATAAAATTCAACAAAATGGATCTTATCTCTCTGTTCTTTTCTCATCTTATTTTTAGCACAGTAAAAAACAGCAAAACATGTTTCTGATGACTTTTTTCAATTTGAAGACAGCAAAGGTTTCCATTTTCATAATAAAAACAGCAGTGAAAGCTGAACTGCCTTACTGGATTGGACAAAGCTCGTCTTTACTCCAAATACTTCTCTCAGATGTTATCATAAATTGTAAATAATGTTGCACTCGATTGCATGTGACACTCAATCTAATTATGCACAACATTTAAGAAGGCTGATGGGATTAGTGCCCCACACATTAAAAGCTGCTGAGAGAGGAAAGGATGTATGACATCCATTATATACACATCCACTTTGAAAAATGCTTTTCGTGTGGATGGTAGAAATTTCAATGAGAACAGACTCAGATTTACAAATCTATCCTTTACATTAAATAGCGAAAACTCCAAACAATCTCCTGTTCGTGGCAGTATATTTGGTAGATAACATTTCTATTAGCTCCAGTTGTGCAGCTGACATTAATCCTGAGGTTTTAAGAACTTTTTCTTAGCTTTTTTGCTAGGTCTTGTGTTACTATTCCCATCGTCATCTTCATCCTGGAGTACATGCTGGTCTCTTTTTCTCAAGAATTTCTTCCCTATTGTTCCCACTAATGTTTCATATCTGTAAAGATAATAAAAAATTTACAGCTTTTACTAAAATCAGAGAAAACTTCAATGGATCAAATCATGAATCTAATCAACAACTTAAGTGGTGTAACAAAGCCAATCATCAGAAGCTAAGAAACACAAGTACTACATGATCACTTACTACATTATTGTTCACCCTGATAGTTTGGGTTTGTTAGCAATCTGGAACATGGAGGGAATTAGTATGGAATGCCTGGATATCAAAAGGCAGAAAAATCCTACAAGGTATTTCACCCCCAAAAGTGATGGAGATTCCACAGAATACACACCAGAATTCCTAGAAAATCATTTTTTTAAAGTACCATATTCTGCTGTGGGTTTGGTTGTTTTTTTGGGTTTTTTTTGTTTTGTTTTGTTTGTTTGCATTTTGGATTTATTTTCCCACACATAATGCAGTAAAATATCACATTCCTAGCTAATATTGATTATGTCATAAAATATAACTTACCTTCTGGCCATTTCTTCATCTGACACATCAGCCTCCATTTTATCATCCACTTCAATTTCTTCTTCCTTGCACCTAGAGTTCATTTGGATCATTAACTTCTGAAAATGAAGTAAGAAATAGCTTAAACATGTAACCCGGACACAATGGCAACTATCCTGAAATTCACTGGTAGAAGAAATGCATAAAAGGTAAGAATCAAATTTAATAACGATTTGCTGTTCCCTGGTCAGGCTAGAGCATACCGTTACAAAAACTCATGAAGAAAAAGCAACACGCCTGCCTGTTGCTAAGCTGAGCTTAGAGTTTGCCTTTGGGAAAAGAAACAACACAAGAGTTTTCAGTGAATTGTACTATTCAAACATCCTCAAGGGCACGGCAGACATCTTCAAGAGACCAGAGAATTAGATCGTAATTAATTTTTCATTGTGATGTTAGCACATAGTCCTTGAAATGGTTTTCTTAAGAAGGAAAAATATCTGCAAGGATTTACAATAAACTACTGGTAAAACCCACGACGCAATAATATGCCAAGTCACAGTGAGAGCAAGTTCAAAATAACTAAAAGAATCTCCTAGTAAATCACCTTGCATAGCCTTTTGCATACCTCTGAGTCGTTACACCTTCATCCTCCTTGCTTCAGTTTGGTGGCAACATTTTTATTCCTATCTCAATTGTAGTTCTATCAGCATGAATCATGCCAGAAAGAAATTAAAGACTCTCTTGCTCAGAATTTTTACTTTGGAACTTTAAGCCCTTACTTACACCAGTTAGTGTTGAATAAATAGGGTTGAATTGTAGGATTGGACTCTAAATTACATGACAGGAGCAAAAGCGAGCTATTGTGTTGGTGAGCTGCATGTGGAACAGTTTCCTCACTTCAGAGAGGCAAAATCTGCAGGAGTCGTGCAATTGCTGACCATCAACACAAGGACATAAAAAGCTTCTATTTACCAGATGCTGCATTGATCAACATTTTGGTTTGAATCAGTGATTTCCTGTACATGGGAGGATTTATGGAAGGTGCCGCAAAGGCCAAACAGCATGCAGTGTGAACACTCAAATCCCCATCCTCAAGGGCTTCAATCCTAATGCAAGACCATCTGAAAACAGAGTATTTAAACGATACCTCAATTTCTGGGTTGAATCCTTTGAAGGACATTCTGCCATAAAGTAGATCCTCACATGGCATAAAGCTCCTCTCTTCTATTATAAAGCTCCTGCATGAAACCCCAAATCCAGCATTTGTCAAACAGTAAGCTTTAAAATAATCAAATTAAACAAATGCAAAAAGCATTTGCTGTCTTCCCCCCGTACAAATAAACAAAACCACAGTGTATTTTAAACTATCAACTACTTTCTGAAGCTTAATCGCTCTGATAAATCTTTCAGTACAAGGAGGTTGGAGTGCAAAGGAATACTTTTTGCCAGTTAAGCTGTGCCAGTTCCACAAGCAAAATTAACTCTCCTGACAAAAAGCACTCTTTGCTGGTATGATTCCACCTACATTAATGCTTTTGCCAGAATAAAAATACCACACAAATATCACTCTCCAGGTGGCATTACTCTACCAGCAAAAGCTTCTAATTAATTTTTCATTGTGATGTTAGACCTGGCATTAGTTGAGTCTGTCAGGATATAAAACACTCTGTAATTCTCTGTTCACCAGAGAAAGATTTCCCCTTTCTCCCTCCTTTTTTCCTCTTTTAATGAGCATGGAGCGAGAAAAGAAACATGACCCCAAGGCGTTTATAATACACGTGTTAGATAAAAGTACTTCCGTGGATTGTTCCATCCTTCTTTTCCTCGCACACATATGCACCTCTTCCCTTATCCTCTTCATCTCCCATGTAAAACAAACTCCTACGATCATAGGAAGTTAGGCTGAAGAGATCAAGCTCATATCTCCTACCTCAGGGTAGGATCAGTTAAACATGTACCATGAACAGCAGAGGTCCATCTAACCTGTCCCCTGACCTAACGAACTTCCAATGATGAAGAATCCAGCGTCTCCTTAGGCAATCTATTCCAGTGCTTCAATAGCCTCATTGTTAGAAAAATCCTTCCGATGTCCAGCTTGAACCTTCCTTGCTGCAATGGAAGCTCAACTACCTTTTTGTCATATCCACCAACAGTAACGGAAAATAGTTTATCAATGACCTTATTCAAGTACAGTTAATTCCCTGGATCCCAGCTTTTTAAAAATTATGTTCTCCCTCAGTGGAATTTTTGTCCTCTTTTGAAAGGACAAAAATCAAGCAATTTTAAAAGTACTTCTCTTGCTATTTAAAGCACCTTTCTAAATAGAAGGAATGGACATTTTCTTCCTTATTAGCTAAGCCTTCCTTTGCTTTTGCCATTATATCTCCTATTTCAAAAACAGGATTTGAAGTGAGCGGGGCTCAAGAAGACAGAACTATCCTGAATGGACCTAACCGTGTGACTGGAGCTGCAATTACTAACACAAGGTTTCAAACTCCTTTTCTCAAATGAAGGGAAAAAGCAGCAGAGAATGAATTGGTTCCTGCCTGAAAGAAACTAATTACATGCATCTAGAAGAAACTGTGAGTGAAAGAAAACAACACAGGCAAGAAATGAAAGTAGGTCAAACTGTACTAGGCAACCTTGAGAACGCCCCTGAAAATAAATAACAAAAAAAAGCTGTAATGCCACTCTGTCACTATTTTTGCTTCTGTTAATTGGCTATTAATAATACTTCTTTTACAGGAAAAAATATGTAAATTCTATTCCCACTCCACAACAATCCAGTGATGACAAGAAGTACAAAAGGGTACAAGCTTACTCTTTTTCCTTTAGATCTGGTAAATCAAGATACCAGTGTTCTTCACTAATTATCTTCTTTTCTTCTTCTTCTAGTTGTTTTTTAGTTTGTGAATCCAAACCCCTTTGCATGAACTAAAAAGACAGACACATAAAGACACAGCTTCACTTTTTTGCATCATGAGTATGTTCTGAACATGCAATCATTACATGACGAAAATTATCCATTACACAGTATTTAACAGTTGATAAAAGTGATTTTTCTCTGGGTTTGGTCTAAGTTTGGGCAAACAGGCAATGGAAAAGTAAACAACTGCTGATCACAGCTATCTACTGGAAGTCAACAGTCAGCCACATCGGTACTGACATACAAAGAAACAGACCTTTCCTGGTTAGTTTTAATGGATCTGAATTTTTACAGCTCCGTAACTTTGCTAAGATTTTTCTAATGTTTCAGCAAAGGCCGGAGAAAACTTAATGGCGTTAAAGTTATTGCTGCACATCAGAAACCAACACCACCCATACGAACAGCATTGGAGCTCAGAGCGAGAGGTAGGTCATACTGGGTTGGCCATCGTTTGAAACATCTATACTTCCAACCATCCTCCTCTTTACTCAGATTTCATTTAATGAACTGGCTCGCATTTGTAGCCCTCAAGGGGCATTGGAAGTAGGAGAAAAGTAACCGAGGCTATGAAAAGAAGTCTCTTGTATCCAGCTGTGCTAGAGGAAGATGTCACCAGCCCTTACCTTCCCATCGATGACCCACCAAAGTACCAGTCAAGCAGTATGTGTAAGCACCTGTTAACTCACCGCAGGAACAGCCTGCCAAGTTAGTTGAGACCAACGATTTAGTTTAGGGTAAGGCTGCTAATTTTGCCTAATAAAAGGACATTCCTGCAAATTGCTTGCTCATCCGATAACCTTTGGCAGAGGATGGGAACAGGCAGATAGGAACAGTAACCTCTCTCACAGCTGGGAGTAAAAGAGGACGTCTGTCACAGCCTACGAAAAATTGCTGAGAGTGCAAAACTACTGACCTAATATATGTGAAACATCCCTTTTGTTGCCATTTGTCTCAAGTCAGGTGCCTGACTTGAATGGCAATTTAAGTATCAACAATGTTAACCAAACATGCTGGAAAAAAACAGAACTCTTCACAACTTTACAGTAGCAATCCTTATATTCTCGCTTCCCTAGGAGCCGGGACCTCCCTTACGGTCTACGGGAAGTGTTTGAATAACTGTACCTGTCAGAGGTGTACATTTATACCACTGTAATTCCCAGCTAGAGGCTACTTTACCAGTACAGTGAATACACATTCCTGTACAAAAATTGCTTTGTGGCTATCAAAGCATACTTGGATGTGCAACGCTGCAGAGGAATGTCATACCAACTGATTTTACCCCTCTCATTTAATGCAGCACCATTTTTGTGTTCAGATAAGCCTGCAGGTTGACAGGTAACGTGCCAGTGGGGCACATCTGTTTCTTGAACACCAGCAGAGACTTGGACATGGTTTAGGTCCCCGCTAAAATGGGCTTGGCTGGGGACAAAGGCCAAGGAGGCATCACAAAACACTTCCCTCCCACAAAATTACTGAGCTTATTTAAAATATATTCATAATACAGATATGTTTTATATATATATATACACACATATATATATATATAATATACACCCTCACCGCCTTTTCAGTCTTTACAAAATGCCCAAGCAAATAAAACCAAACTCTGAAGTAAAAGCCAATATAGTGTTAGGATCTCATTTTCCATTTATATTTCTATTTGCATCCATTTGTACAAGATCTTTAATGGAAGAAAAATTGACTTTTCCACGTTGATCCAAAATACGTTAAAGCCTTCCAATTAAAATTACAGTGTCTTCTTGAGGAAAATAAGGGAATCTATCATGTGGAAAACCATATTGCTCAAGGAAATTGGTTAGCCAGTCAGAAATCTCAACACGAGAAATTCTGCTACAAGCACCCAATTAAATAATCATTTCACATTACATTTTAAAGATTATGTTCCTAAAGATTACTACAGGAATAACTAGGTAAAAAAATATATGAGCACATTTATCTAAAATGTAAACACACACGGATGAATTAAAAACATACCCACTGTGGTAGACAGAGAGTACGTAAGTCAGTAACTGAGGGGTTATTTGTATTAGTTTCCCCAAGTAATGGGGCCTGGATCAAATGGTGCGAGATCTAAAAGCATGAGCCATCCTTCGACATCAAGAGGTGAGCACCCGTGGGCCAGTACTCAGCCCAAAGGGTCTTCACAAGGCTCTCACTGGCCACATGTCACCTTTGGGTGACACTTCACCTCCCTGTTGAGTTGTGCTAACATATCTTATTAGCGTCTGCGGAAGCAGCTGCTAAAGGATTAATTAAAACATTTGTAAACAAGAACATCTGCAGAAGGGAAGCGCTAAATACAGGATCTGTGTATGACCTTTTCAAAACCTACTCATCTCTTCAAAGCTGGTTACTACTGCCCGGACTGTGAACCTGCAAATGTCACAGCAGCACATTCACAGGCTGCTTCTCCACAGCCTCCCAAGGAAGAAACTCTAAAAATTGGCTTTTGAAATCACCAGGGAGGTCATAAACTGGCAAAAAAAAACCCCAAACCCAAACCCCAAACCCCAAAAAACAAACCAGGAGCAGAAATTTCACTTTAAAAGAGAATATTACATAAAAATAAGAAAAATAATGATGTTGCCACCCGGGTTATGGGAGTCTTACTCTGTCATACACTGCTACCTAACTAAGCTCAACATCTATTCCTTTCTTAGAGGGAGGCAAGATGTGTTCCGTTCCCTCTGTGCATGTTTATTATTTTATTAGCAGCAGCTATTAATTGGGGTAAATATTCCAGCATCTTACTGTAGAAGAATACACTTTACATGGTGAACTGAAGTCAGCTAAACTCCTTTCAGCCAGTGTCTGAAATATAGTCCCATATAAATAAGCGGGGGAAAAACGGTTAAATAAAAGATCACAAGCAAGAAATCACCAAGGCCCCGTCATATTCAGTTATAAAAAATTAATGGATATTAACATTAAAAAAAAATAAAATCATGGCAACTTAACTTTTACTGGTTGTTTTCCAACAATAAAGAACCATCAATCACAGGAGAATGTACTCTAGTGAATTAGGTGTTGTAGTACACGGTGTGAAGCCGAGTCCATTAGCCAGTAAATGGAGACTGATTTCACATTGGACTTGACACAAGATTGCCAATTCCAAGGGTAACAGGCACGTCATGATGTCACTAACAGCCCCTGCGTTTATAAGCTAGGAAAGGCAGTTAACATCGCCGTTTGGGTTGGGTATTTAATCATCCATCAATGGAAAGAGACAAAAAAATGGACACCAAAAAAACCCCCCACTTTTTCTTTTTTCTTCAAGATTAGAAGCCCCCACAAGTAAGGCAAACAACATTAATACTTTAATTTCAATGTGTGAGCGTGGTGGGGGAGGAAGTCTTATTTTTATTCACAATAAGCCACCTAACAGCGGGGAAAGCAGGTGGAACAAAAATGGTGCCCCAAAGCTGGCTCTTGCTAGGGCGAGTCTTTTGCTGCTGCTTTCCTGGATCCAACCCTACAGCACCCTATGGCTTATAAACCCCCCCGAGACCTCTCAGCAGCCCGGAGTTCGGGGGCAGCTCTTTGAAACCCCCTCCTGCCAGAGAGGTTGGAAGGAGGCAGCTCAGAAAGCTGCGGGCCCGAGCGAAAGGGCAAGCGGTAAATGCCTGCTCTCAGGTGCTGCCCTGGGGAGGGAGCAGACGCTCCTGCCCGCCTGTCAGACGG